GCGCCCTCTGCTTACAATAAAACATATTCCATATAATTATAGGATTTCGTTTTGCACTGTATGCAAGAGTTGGTTCAGGTGTGGAATGGATTTCGTTTTGTTATTACAAAATACGTAAGCGGCAAAAAGAATTCTCTCCTCACTAACTCATTTAACGTGTGTTATATTTACATACCATTCTGTTGCATTAAAAATAACACAATTTAAAAAATATGAGGCAATATATTAAAACTACAGTCCTCGGATTAACATTTTGAGACTGTACTTAAAAGCAAGAATCTACTATGAATACCTGTTTCGCGTCGTGAAATTGGAACTGAATCTTTCCTTGTTTAACACATTTTATATTTCTCTTTTTATAGAAAGAGAATTTAAAATACATTATAAAGTGTGTCAAATAAGAAAAGATTCAGTACAATTTCATGACTCAGGTCGATATTCATAGTTGATTCTTGCATTTAAGACTGTCTTAAATACAGTTTTAAGATGTAAGTCAATCCAAGAACTGTATTAGCATCTTAAAACATTATTTAAGACAACTTTAAAATAAGATAACGAATTATAAATATCGCTCCATGTTTCCCGTTTCACATTGGTAGCTCTTGTGATTCCAATTGATGACACGGAGTTATAATATAATATATAATAGTTTATTGCAAAAAGTCCGCAAGGGTTATCATACATAAAACGACGTAAGCTGCATAAGCATAGCTTAAAGTTGGATCATTCAGCATAAAGATATCATATTGATTTATATAAGATGTTAGTCCAGTGGTCTTATGCAATACTTATACATACAATATATAGCTTATATGTCATTTTATGTGTGATTATTATAATAAAGTATATATAAATAAGATTACGCGCATAATATAACTCATTATATAACAATTACATAACATTGGAATTATTTACATTATAGTCATATAACATTTCAATACGTTATATAACTATTCTGTATCTTCTCTGTATGCAAAAGTTATATAACGTTTATTACATTGTTACAGTTATTGTTTACATATAACTGTAATTTGCAGTGAGTGAAGGAAATTATAACTAACATGTACATTACATATAATCAACACGTTATATTACCTGTTATATTCCGTTTCATTACAGAAATATAACAGTTATACAACTGGGATACGTTGATGCGCGCCACTCAGCATACGAGAATGGATTGAAATGAATTGAAATGGATTCAGATTTTCAGAAATATTGATTCACGAATGTTAAAATGAATGCTTCTCAATCCTGAACGCATTTTTATTCATTTATAGAAATTACATGGAGCATATCTCTATGCCTTTCAATTTAAAAATAATATCAGCTTTTTCTGTGCAAAACACACAACACACACAATACATTGTGAATACTGTTCAAAATTTTGAATAGAAAATGCAGTTTTTCAATCGAATTACATTCAATTGAATCTAATTGAATCCGATTGAATTCAATTAAATCCAAAAAAAGTATTCGCTATTTAAAATACGCATTCGGATAGAAAGAAGTTTCAATCCATTTTAATCCATTCTCGTTTGCTGGGCGCTTATCTACACCAACGTATGTATTACACATGAAGTACAAGCTTATTTTTGCTCCTCATTGTACCTAAACAATATGCAGGTACAAGTACAGTGTTGATACGCTGTATATTATCATGTACACTTTTTATATATATTGCTATCATACAATTACTATACATCGTGGTAGTAGCAGTAGCAGTAACAGTAACAATATGGTAGCGGTATTTTGTGCGGGTACCGTAAAATATCGCACGCTTAGTTATGTGGATAGATTTTTTGTCATTGAAAATTTTCAACACAGCACAGATGTCCTAATCTTAAAAATGAAATGTTATTCAAAGTCATGATCTTGACCATATATTTCAAGATCAATGCTAATTAGAGATGAATTCCCTGATCAGGAATTTTATCTTTAATAACATCGTCAACCACTTATCAATAATGCGATATTTATTATAATGACGCAAAATACTATCAGGAGTTCCTAACAATAAGTAATATTTGGAAAAATAATCGTGAATTTTTCTTACCGGTGGATCGAACGAAGGTCACATCAAGTAGGATAAGAAAGATTGTAACCAGACCAAAACGAAAATCCATCGCTAAAAAAAAACGTATAAGAATCACACAAGAATATCGAGATTCTACGGCATTTGATGATAGAAATAAGCTGTTGTAACTATTGATTAACAACGGTGAAATCTGTGTATATCTTTTTCCTACTCTATCTCTCCCTCCTAATGCACATAGAATAGATACATAAAATAATAAATAGAAACAACAAAAAGAACAAGAGAAACAAAGAGAGAGAGCGTATGGGAGATTAAAATGGGGAATATAGTCTTATCTTCTCATAACGTACTGAGGTCATCAAAGATATAACCGACGTTGTAATCTTTGCAATAGATAATTCAATTGGATTTGATGAAACAAGCAATCATTAATTATACACTAAGAGTTAAATTATAAGATTCCAACAGAGCATTGTAGAATAAAATTGTCAAAATTGCACAGGTGCCTAAATCGCACTATCTCGCTTAAAAATTCAATTATTGCATTTATATGAAATACTTTTTTCCGAGTAATCAATTATAAAATTGATATTATTATACAAATTTGTTATTGTTATATGATTAGTATATTAAAAAAAATGTTTTTAATAATGTATCAATAAAAAATTTAATTTAATATTTAATGTTATTAATTGTCGATTATAAATTTAGAACATTAACCAAATTTGTTTCAAAAACATAGAATCTGCTCTTGCCCGATAATATTCTTGTACAAAATAAGAAAAAAGAAAGAAAAAAATGATGATATGTATCGATAATTCGTCAAGAATAAATGTAAAATGGCTACTGCATTTTATCTTCGTTCGTAAGCATTTGATTCAATTGAGAAATCTCTGATTCTGACATAATCGATTAAAGCAAACAAAATAATAAGTATACTTCACAAAAATTTACAAGATACAAAAGTCTTGATAGAAAAAAATAATTTAATTCAGTATCACTCATCAATAGACAACAATATAAAAATTAATAGAAAAAGTATAATAATAAAAACTCTAGATATTAAAATAAACTAATCCTGTAAACTCCAAGTTACGTGTAATATACACGTTAATTGTAATTTCCCACTCAATAATATAACTATAATATAATACACGTGTCATATTATAGTTATATTGTTGAATAGAAAATTACAGTTAATATGTACAATACATTTTGGTGTTTGCTGGGAACTAATAGATTAATGTTAATGAAATGACAGCACAATAATTTCAGTAAGAAGAAGATATCATGCCAATAGGACCTTATTATCCTTTTTTTGTAAAAAATAAGATTATCATATAACACATTTTACTGGACAATCTTCTATCAATTTTAAAAGATCCCGCACTAATTATATTCAAAGAAAATGGATGAAATGAGTTAATTTTCGAATATAATATAACTTACAATGTGATGAACAAGATATATCATAAACACAAGAATACTCAATAAGAGAACTCAATAATAGAAAATTACGATGACGCGTAGTTTCATGCGAATTGCGGTCGACTACTGCAATGATAGTTGATAGGAACCCAGCTCTGATCCCATACCTCGTTAAGAGGTTGGAGTATTACAAGGTTGATCAAAGAGTAACGTTAATGACAAAGAATGAGAATTCCAAACTAACAGTTCAAATATATTATATATTTTGTGCCCAAATTATCACAGAGTGAGATTTTTATTAGTATTCTCTTTACTTATTTTGTTATAAAAATTTATATATATATATTTATATATATATATATATATATAAAATAAAAATATATATAACAAAAAATAGTAGTATACACACAGGGTTATTAAAAAATGTGGGAGTTACGGAAAACTCTTTGAATAAACGTCAAAGAAGTAGAAATAAAAGAAGTAAAAATATTTCAATAATAAGGAAACCGAATATATGATCTACCTAAGTTTTACAATCTTTTCTATAATTTCGGATATTTAATTACGATATATTTAGTATTTATACATATTAATTATTCTTAATTTAGTGCAATTTGAATTCACAAATAACAAAAAGTTTTTATCAATTTATCATCATCTACATCTTGTGCTGAAAAAACGTTTTCGCATGATTTTATGTACGTATCCAGTTCTACAATTGCGCGTCAAAATTATTTTCAGTCTTTAAACGTATACTTATATTAAACAATTGTAACAGTTTCACAAATTAAAGTAAATTTTGTTATAATACTTTTTAATGTTTATACAATATTATAGTATCATTAAATAATGTTACTTTTAATAATCATGCAATATTATCAGGAGTGGACATATATAACCTTCCATTATAATATTTCGAGAATATTTAATATTATATATAATTTTAGTACAATATTTAAAAAAATGTTACATTTAATGTTTTAAAAATATGTCTAAAATATTATTTAATATCAAATAATATTATGCGGTTATAGGGACATTGTTATTTAAATAAATTGTAATAGTCATTTGTCTAATTTGACAGAGCGAAGATATTGCTTCACGATTTTTTTCATTTAACTTACAATTATGAAGATCTTATAAACTATTTATGTACCATGGTTTGATTAGGATTAGGTTATTTATTATATATTCACACATGGATATATAATAACTTAATCCTAACCATGTATCACTTCACCTCCCTTCTGCTTGGTGCATGACTTTCCACGCAAAGCGATTTTGATTGTTATACTTTTTATTATTTTCTTGTTATTAGCTCAATGGATGAGACAAGAAACTATGCTTGGTGGTTGTGTGATAGTGGAAATCGATGAAGCAAATGATGTACGAGAACACTACGAATATTATTTAGCAGAATTTATGTTTAAAAAACGATATGATTTTAATACAAAATACCGTAATTTTTTAAATTAATGGCTTCTTTATATCCATTAAATGATATATCGTCAAGTAATGAATAAAATATTATACATTCTTCATGTTGGAATGTGTATATTGTGTTGAAAAAGTGTCCTATTCATAAAAACGTTTTCATTGATAACTTTTTAATGAATAACAAGCGATGTAAAAGGTTGAAACCTTGACTTTCTTGGGAGTCAAGATCAAGGTCAAGGTCTCTCGGAGGTCATTTAGGGCTGAGTAAAAGGGAACATTTACCCAAATAAATTTGAAGCTCGCGATTATCGTTACATGAAATTAAAGTTTCTTATTCTACATATAATTCATACTTCCTCGCAATTTCTTAATTTACTTATACTTATATTCTAATCAAAACAAACTGTTCATCGCAAACTGTTCATCTCTATACAGTTAATTGTCTATAATTTTCGCAAAAGCAATAATTAAAACATATACAGTATGCTAAAATTGCAAAATTATTTTTATATAGTAAATGACTATGACACTACAAAATAATGAGCAGGGAAAAATTTACAATACAAATGCTAAATTTCTCAGTTTTTAATTGATTTGTCTCACTTATTTGAAAACTAATAACTAATTCTCTTAAGACTTATTTTAGCCAAATTAATTTAATGAAGAACTTTTTTATACTGTTCGTGAACATTTTTATTCTTGTGACCAGACAATATTTTCGATCCACGAAAGATAATGGGACACTCTAGTATAAACACCGGGTATGTCGATCATCCCGCAACCCTGACCAAAACTGGTAATACCAATCACTTGGAAGAGGCATTCGCTTTTAGGATGGACTATTTGTAGAGGGCCACCAGAATCTCCTTGACAAGTGTCCCTTGTCCAATTGCCCTTAGGATCGCCAGCACAAATCATACTTGGTGTGATACCGTATGGAATTGCTGTGGAATTATTATGCCGTACTGTACACGACAGATTGTCTACCAGATTCAGTTTAGCCTTTTGTAATCGATCGCTCACCTCTCCGCCTGAAGTACATAATTTAATATGAATCAGTACTCCTACTTTATAAAAATTTTTAACCTTTGTAATGATAAGGGCTTTGTATTTATTAAGAATCCCTTGCATGTAAGTTCTTAATAAATGTAGAACTTTTTAGACATGTAAATTTTCAAAAACATTTAGCTTTACGATTATTTCTTTCAATTTAAGGACTTTCATGATAAATTTGTGAGGAATTACCGAACTACTTACTGTATTCGGTGACACCCCAACCGCTTACCCAAGCCTGTATGGGTACGGTATCGAAAGGTTGATAAAGACACGCAGGTCGTACAGATGTGCTAAAAGTAACGGGGGTCATGAGCTGTAATAGAGCAATGTCCGCATACATCGCAGGTGGTTTGTAATCCGGATGAGTTATTATATCTTTAATGACACTCATGATGCCTTTCTGATCTGTCAAGCTGTGAAAACCTATTCTTGCATCAGTTACACCGCCGCTGCAAAGAAATACAATGCATAAGGTAGGAATCAGACTACGCATTAATAATTGAGATTAAAGATTAAAGATTAAAATTTGACCTATGAGGATAAAGAATTTTAGCTCCCATTGTTTTGATTGGTCAAATTTCAATCTTTCAATCTTCAATCTCAATCTTCAATGCATAGCTTGATTTCGGTTTTAGACTGGCTTTGTTAATTAAATAATTGCAAGATGTCAAATTAAGTAAATTATATTCTAAGTCTACAATTTCTAATATATTTAAACTACAAAATGCCTCGGTGGTCTAAAGCCTTAGGATGCTCGTACGGAATACAGAGAGATTTGGATTCGACTCCCGGCCGAGATAATATTTTTCGCAATAAATTTTTATTAACAGTTTTTCAACATATTATAACATGATATCTGATTGTAGCATCAAATTATTAAAATTGCTTATCAATTTAATTTGCAATTACTAGAGTAGTTTAATCGTGTTTATAGTCCGGAAAAATAATTCGGCGCGCAGTTCGAAAGACTACAATATGATATATATATATATATAAGTATATATAGTAATTCAAGATTGAATTATTTAATAAAAGGTAGTATACAAGAAGGGCAAAAAGTCAATAACATATAAAAGAAATTTTAATTTAAATAAGCAAAATTACTTTAACAAAACAAAACAAAATTATTTAAGGATTTAAGCAATGAAAATCCAACTTCGACTAATATAAGCCTTTTAATTTCTAGTACTGATTGTTTCATATATGCCTAAAATAAAGATGTTTAATATTGCTTACAAAACCAAGTAGACTTTTAAAATTTCATAATTTCTCGAGATGTATAATATGCTGAAAAATACTACAGCATTAATCTGAAAAAGTATTGTCAAATTTTGAAATTTTATCTGATTTATCGTTACTTTCAATAAAATGATTATCAGAAAAATAAAAAAAGCTTTTTCATCAGAATTCTTTATATAGTTTAATGCAAAAAAATACTAAAATTTACTCTGTTCCATGAGTGCAATGCGCAGCGGAAATCACCCAGTTATGTGAAATTAACGTGCCACCGCACATTAAGACAAATTGATTGGCATTGCGTTTCCCCAGAGCGACCATGTGAGGGAACTCGTTGGCTTGCGCCTCGGTACCATTAATCACCAAAGGATTCATACTCCCGCAGGTATGAATTATCTTGCGCACGTCTGATGAAGCGGTCAGAGACGTTATAAAAGACGTACCCGCAATTTTGCCTACATATTCCTCGCACTCTGAAATTTATTTTATGGATGTTATTGTGATTTATGTTAATTACATAAAGATGTGTTGAAATATATATATATATATATATCGTTCAAGTGATGATTTATTTATAAACGTTTAAATACATATACTTTTAGATTTTTATTTCCTGTAAATTTTTTTTCTACCTATACAAATTCTTAAAATACATAATTTACTTACTAAGTTCTGATATTGATGTCACTGGCTTCATCTTAAGGGATATCAAATCCTCTAATGATAGTAGGCGTGAAACTGAAAGATAAATTTTTGGAAAAGTACAAGTACAAGATATTATAAAATTATTATCAGATTCTGGCGTATTACATATTAATACATGAGGTATTATTGTAAAATATGTTAATATACGATAATGTGATAGTGGTGTGTATAAAGATTTGTGTAACAAATGAATTAGAAGATTCCATGTCAACTTTATATATCGGTTTATTTTAATGTTCGAAAAGAGATTGTTACTTATTAGGATTATTAATTATTAGGAAAAATATTAAAATTTATTATTAGAAAATATTATGTTGGCAGTTTTGTGATATATAATTGTGATACAATTTAGCAAGAATGAATTTCTAGTTGCCGTTTGATAATTGCAAGAAAAAATTGTTTTGAATATTAAAACGATTTATGAACGATTGGTGGAAAGAACAATGGAGTTGCAATGCCTGAATTAACAATCGAATATTGTTTGAGTTCCTTTCCTTCTTCAAAAAAACCATCATTATCTAAAATACATGTAAAGCTTATATTTAGTTGATACAGCTAGATATTTTCATAAGTATATGTTATTTTATACGTATATATATGTATAATCTCGTTAACATTATCTTACCTAATATATAATATTATATAAAAAATTTTTCATGCATGAATATGTATAAATATGTATAAACATGCACAAATATTCATAAATATGTATAATCATATATGAAATACATGTCCATACATATTCATACATATCCCCCCTTTTTTTGTAAAATTACTTTTTAGTGAATAATAGAAATAATAATAGTAATGTGAACACATTAAAAATAATTAAAAGGATCATTATTTATACTACTTATTTTTAAAAAAATGAAGTTTGAAGAAAGGTAAAAAAATTACTTATGTATAATTATTGTATATATAAAAGTATGCATAATTGTGTATAGCAAATTTTTTTTATATTTTCCAAAACTTATTTTTTTTCTAAAACATACAATGCGAAAATTATTCCTTTAATTATTTTTGATATTTTCACATTATTATTTTTATTATACTAAAAAGTAATTTTACAAAAGAAGGAGAGATGTATGAACACGTTTGAACATATTTCATTTATGATTATACACATTTATGAATATTTATGAATATTTATACATATTTATGCATGAAAAATTTTATATGTTTGCAAAAGTTCATGGAATCACAGTCAGATATCATTAGAATTAATGTAAAATTTATATCACTATCGAAACAAATATTCATTCTTTGTATATATTTGTTATGTACGGATTTTGGATTTAATAATAAAGTCTGTAATACAATAAATAATCACTACAACGATCACGATAACACAATAATGGTATTTAGCAACGCAAAATGATTCACACAATAAAGTCTTAATGATTAATAACACTTGAAACAACAATCGTGAATTCTTCCTACCTGTGGACCAAACGGAAACCACATCAAGGATTATGAAGATTGCAACTAGGCTAAAACAAAGATTCATTATTAAAGAAAGACGCGTAAGAGATACACACGAATATTTAATGTCAAGGCAATCTAACGACAGAAACAAGCTGTAAGGATTAATAGTGTGGAATCTGTGATTCTCTCTTTCTCTCTCTCTCTCTCTCTCTCTCTCTCTCTCTCTTTCTCTCCTCCCCTTCCCTTCTCCCTCCCTCCTTTTGCCTTCGCTCCCTCCTTACCTCCCCCTCTCTATCACATATCTCTTTTCTAATTGTACAGAGAACAAAATAAAGTAGTAAGTAAACACTGTTCGTCTTCGATCAACGTTTGATTGGTCAATTCGGAATATCCGATGCAATTAGTCGAGGCGGATAAACCAGTTAGTGTATCTTATTCCACAAAAATTGATGAAATAAGAAGGTATACTGACAAAACAGAAAAAAGACAAACCAGTCTGGTATTACGAATCAATATGCAAATATATCTTGGTCACTCCCCTTATCATCTAAAGCATATAATTTAATTTAAATCGGTACTTCTACTTTATAAAAATCTTTCATACTCATAATAAAGAGCCTCTATTAAAAATTCTAGTGCAGACTCTTACTAAATGACGTCTTTTAAAATTCATTTTACTATTTCTTCAAATTCTACGATTGTGCAGTTTTCAAATTTTCGAACAAGAAATTATTAAATTACCTACCATTGAAACTGGTGAGTCCCCAGCCAGTAATCCAAGCCTTTCGAGGCACAGTGTCATATTGCTGATAAAGACAGGCAGGTTGTGTGAATGTGTTAAATGTGACAGAGTTCATGAGCTCTATTAGAACTATGTCTGCATATATTGCGGGTGGTTTATAATTGGGATGTACTATCGCATGTTTAATGGCAATAATGACGCCTTTCTGGTCCGTCAATCTAGTCGTGCCTATTTTTAAGGCATTTGCACGACTGCAAAAATACAATGTATAAGACTTTGTTGATCAACTCCTTAAATAATTGTAAAATTAATCTTATAAATTTTTTTAAGATCTGCAATTACATACGTCATATGCAATTAGGTTTGAAATATAAAAAATTAGTAACTCTTAAAATTCTATACTTTCTTATTCTAGATCCATAAAACACTATGGAATTAATCTCAAAAAGTATTTTCAAATTTCGTGATTTTTATCTAATCCATTATTGCATTCGATGGAATAACTAATAGTTAAGTTCTGCAACTTCTATTAGGCACATCCGAATCACGCGTTCTTACCAAAGTTATACCCATAATTTCTCTTGCATATTCCTCACACTCTGAAATTTATTTTGATTATTATGATTATATAAAGATCTGTAGAATATATGAAGAAAATTGAATCAATCACTATGCAAATATCTTAAATGCCTGATCTGTTATTAGGTGTTGGAATTAATTCGTAGCGTTTTACATACTTAGATTTTTGCATTTCTATATCTATAAATTTTTTAATCCTATAAGTTTTTTAATATATAGTTACATTTTACTTACTACGTTCTGATATCGCTTTCATTGGGTTCTTAAAGGCTAATAAATCGTTCATTGATGATAAGCGTGAACTTAGAGGCCAAATGTTTGAAGGAACAGAAGTAGTGCGAGGTGTAGAATTATTATCTGATGCTGATATACTAAATGCTGAAATATTAAGTACAGGTATCAGATGTAAAATCATTATCTGGTGCTAATATATAATGGTGATATGTAAGATATTTGCGTAATAGACTGTGAACTAGAAGATTGTATACTAAATCTTGTATTGGATTTAATAGGATTTAAAAAGGAATTATTATTATTATTATTATTAAGTAAATTATACAAGTTACTATTACGAAAGATAACTGTATTGGATGCTTATGACGTAGAACTATTTAACAAAAATAAGTTTCCAATTTTGTTGCTATTTGAAGACTGTAGGAAAGGATTGTGTATAATATTGGGATTATTTATGACCGATTGTTGATGAATATTGTTTGAATTCCTCTTTTTTCTTAAAAAGCTATTATCTAAAATATATACAAAATCAAAAATTATATGTTTTTATAAACATATATATAATATACGTATATAATTATGTACGTATATGTTATTTTGCATTTATATTATCATACGTAATGTAATATATTATTATATGTAATGTAATATATCATATGTAATATACGTAATATAATCTATTTACTTTCTAATTATTAATAAAATTAATATATTAATTTAGAACATAAATTTTTAGAATTTAAGCTCAACAATAAAAATTTTTAATTAAAAACATTTTAAAATGAATGCAAATAATAGAATCAGAAAATTAAAAAATTTTCTTTATAACAATACAGATATGATTATCAAATAAATATCCATTCAGGAATACGGACTTTTTAGAGGATTTTATAATAACGTTCACAACTGTGCAAACATCAATCACTATACTAATAACGCAATAACAACACAAAATAATATACAGGATCGTTTTTAGCGATAAGTAAAACTTGAAACAATATATTATTAATAATAATTCAGAATTTTTCCTACCAGTGGATCGGGTGGAAATCATATCAGTGACTAGGAAGATTGCAATCAAATCGAAACGAAAATCCATCGTGCAAAAGGACGCGTAGATATCAAGTATCCGATGTTAAGACATTTGACGCCAGAGCTATGCGCTTCTCTTCCACTTCTCCCTCTCTATTTTATAAAGAATGAAAAATAAATAAAAAGTAGAAAGAGACGAAGATGAGAACAGAGTGTGTGTGGAAGATCAGGGTGGAGAGAGATTTTATATAGTATTCCGAGTCATCACTCAATCAAGTAAACAGACATCGTAATTTTTACAATAAATTTGATAAAACAAATAGTAATCATTAATATAAAAAGTTAAATTATAACATTATCTCAGGGTTTTGTGAGGCTATTAAAATTATAAGATATATGCGGTTTAGAGTACATTTAACATAAAGTAACTTTGCAAATATAAAATATAATTAAGTACATAATATATTTTGAATATGAATATTTCAGTATTTATCTATAAAATTGGCACGATTACATGAATTGATAATCATTAAATTAATGAATATCGTTAAAAATTTAATTTTAATACTTAATGTTATAATATTTTGATTAATTATTAATCGTGGTATAATCATAAATTTTAAACATTCAAAAAACTGAAATTGTTTTTTTCTAACTTTGGATCTTACCCTTGTCCTATCATTTTTGCAAAATAAAAAAAGAAAATACAGGAAGGATAAATATAAAAATTGAGAATCTTCGATTTTCTGACGCAATTAATCGAAACAAACTAATTAGTGTAAAAATTAACAAGATAAAAAGATATAAAAAAGGAAAGAAACAAATAGGTATTACTAATACACAGGGATATAAGTAATAATATACTTGCAATATTTACAAAAAAATGAATGTATCTACATACATATAAATAGTGTTGCGCGAAGAAATAAAAGTCGAAATAAAAAGAAACAGAATTTATTTAATAATAAATAAATTGAAGTTTAATCAACACTTAATGAATTAAATAATAATTATTATTACACAGATTATATTTAAACATATACATAAAATAAAACACAAAATTTAACATTGAATAATTTTGTGATAAACAAAAAATGTAATGCATAACACTTAAAAATTTTTATTTTGTATTGATATATTTACATATTCACATATATCAATATATTTACGTATTTATGTAATACTCATATGATGTTGTAAAAATACTTCGGCTTGATGGATTCCTGTCTCATAAGCTCCATGTGTTGTCGAGTAAAACTCGTCATGCGTAGCTTCACCGGCAAACAATATGACTGGTAGATTCTGTTATATTCGCAAAAATTCACAAGTTGGATAATACATTTTTTAAATTTATTTTTTCGAATCTTTACATTAAATCGAATCTTAATTAAATAATATAAAAATGCTTAAAAATATGACTATAAAATCTCCAATTTAAGATTTTTTTTTAATGTTAAATAAAATGTTACATAAACACGATATAATCTCACCTTTTTTCTCTTCATATCAATTTGCATTGTCGCCCAGACTGGTTCGGCCAATATCTTTGGGGAAACATCATCCTCCTCACAACTTTTCGTAATGTGACTGTAACCGCCTCTCACGTATCTATTCTCGTTCCATTTAGTTCGAACGCATCTTCTGACTGGCGGTATATCGCGATATCGTACATATCGCATCAACAGATTCATACAATCTTCCGCAATTGTTTCCTCCGGCAATTCTTCAACGATATACGCCCCTCGTCCGCCGACCCATACTATAAGAGTGGCCGCATGAATCGGCAGAACATCGAATCCTGTGACATACTTGGTCCATTCCGGCAAAGATGAGTGATCGGCATCCCTGCGCCAAAGCAATTGGAAACCATTCACACCTCTTTGCCACCAGGGTTCACCAAAGTCCAGAAAAATCTTATTAATCGTTCCAAAACCAAGATCCTCAATAGCAATGCTTAGACGATTTGGTAATAGCGGTTGGAACATGTTCTGATAGTTACTCTTCAAATAGCCAAGCGAACAAGTAACTATGACCGCATCAGCGAGAATTTCAGTGCCATTGAAAGTTTTCACGATAACTGGAGAATCATTTGGAGAGTCAATGAAGTTCCGCCAGTGAATGACTTCCACGGGAGTGGATAAACGTATTTTTCGCTTATCCAGATTGTCAACGATTAGATTTGTTAAAGAACTGTAGCCAGATTTGAAGAGCAAATGTTCCGGTCCGCCAACGTACTGTAGAAATTATTGTTTTTACAGTGCTTATTTTTGAAACTATGATTAAAATTGGATTTACCTTGAACTTTCCCCAAAGAACTGCTGACAAATCATCTAACGAGTGGCAGCAATTATCCACCAGGAGAAACCGCACATTCCAATCGAAGATTTCCTCCTTCATCTTTCTTTCCACCGGAGGATCATTTCGCTCATGTAAATAATCCTCAAACCTATTTCTTATGACAGAACCGATATTCTCCTTCTTTTTCAAAGGCTTTTGAGATTCGCAGATATCATCCAAGACGGTTCGTACGAGATCATCGACTTCACGAACCAAGCTGTCGTTCATTATCGTTCCGTCATCGCGTAAGAAAATTCCGTCGCCGTCCGTTCCTTGAATTGTCGATACTAAATCATTGTTGAGACAGTATTGAGCAAGCCTGCTCTTATCACCATGCAGGAATTGTGCTCCGCAATCTCCCCAGCCGTTATCCCATGGAATAGAATGAATTCTTCCTCCAACTATGTCTTGAGCTATGGAATAGCATAAGATAATCCAAGGAATTATATTTTTATTTTTTATATATTCATAACTATTTTTTTATTTCTTATTATAAATTTTTCTATTATTATTTATTTATATCATTAGACTGTATGTTAAAGATCAGTCAAACTGATCAAATTAAATAAAAAATTAATTAACGTTAAATTCTTAAGAGATATCACATATATGCATGTACCCTCGAGAAGAAGATAATCCATAAATCCCGCATCTTCCAGAGTTTTTGCCGCCGCCAATCCTGCAATTCCCGCGCCTACTATCACAACTCTCGTCTTTTCCATTTTTCTCACACTCGTATCAATCTCTATCCGCAATGCTTCGTCGAAGTTGTCAATCAGTTGATCTAAGTGATTGTACGTTCTACGTCATCCGAAGAAATTAGTCTAATGTATATATTATCTCACATAAACGTACACATATACACACATATATATATATGTACCGTTTGCTGTCTTTTTATAAATTTATTCTAAGTCATAAATATATTCTATTCTATATAAAAACTACATATATAAATAAATTTCAGGATTTATTTGGAAAGACTTTTGATGCAATAATAGTCTACAACCGAAAACACGAATAATAACTATAAATAATGAACACAGTAAATAAATAATAACAAATGTAAATATTATTCCTCTCACTGTAAATATAGCATATATTTCATGTTTCTTTAAACTTTACATTAATTTTTATAGTGTTAAAATTTATATTATTGTAACATAATG